TCTAATGAATTTCGGAAATTACTGATTACCTCTATTGTTGCGTTTAGTATTCTTTTGCAGGCACAATTTATTTCGGCTTTTAATAGCAGAATTATGTTCACAATGAAAATTTTAGTAATAATACGTACCTAATTTCTAACATTTACCTTTAAAAGTTCGATTAAAAATGTAGTAGGAATGCCTATCTCATGTTTTGGAAAGTCCACGTGATGTTGATACAACATCCTTACTTATTACTTTTGTGCGATCTGTTGCATGGATTTTCTTATTTGATATTGATGGAACATTATCCTCGTTTTAATTTTGATCTAAATTACTTAGGAACTATTATTCAATCATCAGTTAATTCTTTACTGTGTCATTTGACAATTTTTGAATATGCAAGAAATGTTTAATATTCAAATTCCTCTGATAAAATTTATCTAGCGTTGGAAAATTCGGCACTAAGTATTATAATATAGTATTGTAAATATGTATCAAAATACAGTAATTATCCAACACTTTATTTGATTGTGCAGATTTGATTGAGTCTATTTGATGTTAGGTAACAGCTTAGGAGTAACAAGAGGGGACGTTGTGAACGGTGTGGACACCTTGTTGAACTTGAACATAGGGAAGATAATATTGTGTGCCTTCCCATATTCTAATACTTTACCACATTCTAAGAACAAATACATAGGTGTACTAAATAATACACTACACCAAATGACATGTCACAATGACAGACTTTTATTTTTTGACACTAATAAATTTGTTAGTACTTTTGTTTTTACAAAGAAAGGTATACACCTTTCAAAAAAATGTCGACAAAAAATTGCTATGCTGATAGCATATAATATTAACACTGTTATACCTTGTATAACAGAAAATAGTTTTAAGGACGAATCTGTGTTGTCTAGAGTGTCTAACAGCACAGAGGCACATTTTAATTTAAGTTTAAACTAGATTTTAAGACACAGAACATACCTTCATAAATCATATAAATAATAAGGTATATTCGGCAAGGAAAAAGCACAGAACAATTATACACAGGGGCAGCACAATCTACAATTATTTTATATTAACATTCAGGGCTGCTCCTCAAAAGTCTTTGAATTAGAGATGTTCTGGAAAAGACTAAATTTGATGTAATTTGTCTATCAGAACATTGGTTTAAGGAGGACCAACTAATATCTTTAAATTTAGATAATTACAATGTAGTTAGTAATTTCAGTAGAAAGCATATGTTACATGGTGGGTCCTTAATATTAGTAAAAAATAGTATTCAATCAAAAGGAAGGAAAGATATTGTAGCACTGTCAGTTGAACACACCATTGAGTTGTCCTGTGTTGAGCTAGATAGACATGTTATTGTCTGTGTGTATAGGCCACCTAACTATCAGAATCTTACAGTATTTGATTCTGTCATGGAGGATGTTTTAAGGAAGGTTTGTTCTAGTCACAAATCAGTAATTATATGTGGCGATTTTAATATTATTTATTAGAAAATAGTACTAGTAGTATGGAATTGTTAAATTTATTTGGATCATTTAATTTGAAAAATGTTTTTTTTAGAACCATCAAGGATAACATCTTCTACCGCCACCTGTATTGATAATATTTTCTGTAATTGTGACTACAAAGAAAAACATATTATAAATAGCTTGCCATCCGACCACTGTGGACTAATGGTTGCGTATAGCTTTATTTACCTATCTTAAAAATTCAAATAAGATTTAGACAAATCACGTTCAAAAATCTGGAGAATTGAGCAATTCTTTAGCTACTAAATTATGTATGAAAGTATTTGATACTAGTAATCCGAATAATTTCTACAACGATTTCTTTGAGATGTTAAACAAGGAATTTAACAATATTTTGCCAATAAAAAATAAAGATATTCATACCAAATTCGTATTTAGCGATTGGGCAACTGTAGGTATTCGTAAGAGTAGGGACAGACTTTTTGAACTTTATGGAATGAAACCGTACAAAAACGACCCCCAATTTCACCAGTATGTAACATCTTATTCAAAAACCTTTAGAATAGTATGCAGAGTCGCGAAACGTCTTTATATTAGTAATAAAATAAAATCGTCTGATGATAAGATAAAAACTACTTGGAAAGTTATACACAACGAGACTGGTAGGAAAAGATTAAGAAACTCAGAATTTAATTTAAATACCGAAAGGGGACAGATTTCATCAAACGTAGATGTAGCCCAGGAGTTTGAACATTTTTTTACTAACATTCCTATTAAAACAACTGAACATTTAAAGTCATCAGCAAACCTATCTGTAACTTTGCTTAAGAACAACATAGAATCATGTCAATACGACTTTAGTTTTCGATATACGAATCCTCTAGAAATTATAAAAGTTTTTAAAGAAATCAAGACCAAATCTACGGAGGATCTTTGGGGCTTATCGGTAATAGTTTGCAAGTCACTTATCCAAACTGTAGCGCCATATCTGGCTGTGATTTTCAATAAATGTATAGATGACGGTGTTTTCCCTGACCTAATGAAATATAGTAAGGTTATCCCACTATTTAAAAGTGGTGACACTAAAGAACCTAACAACTATAGGCCAGTGTCTGTTTTGCCGGTTCTCAGCAAAGTCTTTGAAAAGTTGATGCTGTCTCGGATGCTTCATCATTTTAATAAACATTCCATCTTTCACCAACAACAATACGGTTTCACTAAAGGTCGTTGTACAACTGACGCCGGTGTCACTTTGATTAAGGAAATATTTGGTGCTTGGGAGGAAGCACAGGATGCTATTGGTGTCTTTTGTGACCTCTCAAAAGCATTTGATTGCGTTGACCACGAGACACTTTTGCTGAAATTAGATCACTACGGGATAAGAAACTCTGCGCTCCGTCTTATGAGATCTTATTTAGAAGAGAGACAGTTAAAGGTTCATGTTAACGGTATTAACTCGCAGGGCTCTGGGATGAATATGGGCGTTCCTCAAGGTTCAATATTGGGTCCCTTTCTCTTTTTAGTCTATATAAATGATTTGCCATTTATATTTAAAAATGAACCACGAATGGTGCTTTTTGCAGATGATACATCATTAATTTTTAAAATAGATCGACGTACAAATAATCTTGACGACGTAAACAGCTCCATTCTTCAAGTGCATAATTGGTTCACCATTAATAATCTAGCACTTAATGAGAAAAAAACAAAATGTATTAAATTCAGTTTACCAAACGTGCGTAGTAACGATAGTGATATTGTTTTGAACGGTCAAAAGTTAGAATTTGTCGACGAGACAGTATTTTTAGGCATTACGTTAGACAATAGGCTACAATGGGGTCCGCATATAAAGGCGCTTTCGGGGAGATTGAGCTCAGCTGCTTTTGCAGTTAGACAGATTAGACAGCTCACGGACGTAGATACAGCTAGGCTTGTCTATTTTAGTTATTTCCACAGCATTATGTCGTACGGCATTTTGTTGTGGGGTCGAGCTGCAGAAATAGAATCAATATTTATTCTACAAAAGCGGGCTATCCGAGCAATATATAACTTACGCCGTTGCGAATCGCTGAGAGAATTGTTTAAAACGATAAATATTTTAACGGTGCCCTGTCAATATATATATGAAAATATAATGTATGTAAGGAAAAATAGGCAATTGTTTGAAAAAAGAAGCGATAGACACAATTTTAATACTAGAGGCAAAAATAAGTTAGCTATACCGCAATTCAGACTGTCCAAAGTACAGAAATCCTTTATGGGGTTAGGTATTAAATGCTATAATAAAATACCAAATAGCATACTAGATCTCAGTGAAAGTAAATTTAAAACATATATTAAGCGCGAATTATGTAATCAAGCCTACTACACACTGACAGATTATCTTGAAGATAAGAATGCTTGGCAGCATGTTGGTTCGGCTCCACTGGACAATACTCAAATGTAGTCAGTAGCTAAATTCCAATAGTAGGTATTTTAATACAAAATTTAACACTTTAATTCTAATGTAGACAATCTAGTTTCCTTATGGCATCGAGCATTTCTTTATTGAAACAAAGAGTTTCCTTTTCTTGTATAGAAGCACTAATTCTATGGATTGTCAGTATGCATATGTGAGCACCATGTTGGACTTTAAGTTAATTTTATTTATTTTTTTATTTTTGTAAGTTATTAGTATAATGCGTCAAGCGTGTCTTTGCATTGTTCTTACATATGCGTACAGTATTGAAATATGTATCAGACACATTGTAGAACATACTTTTTTTAAAAAGAGTAACGAATGGAGTTTCTTGCTCGTTCTTCTCCATTCGAATCTACTTTTTGGAATGAGCACCTAGCTTCACCTAGTTTCACTGACGGACTGACTGACAGACTATTATTTATTTTGTATTTGTTGACGTTTCAAAAGCACCAAACTATGGTTTAATTGAAATAAATGCTTTGACTTTGACTTTGACTTTGACTTTGATCTGCCTATCTGGTATTTTACGTATTTCTATTGTTTTTATGAAGCGTATTTTCTTATTTTTCATTCTTAATCTTAAACCTTATACTATTACATAAAGCTGAAGTGTTTGTTTGTTTGAGAGTGCTAATCTTACGAATTACTGAAAAATCGTTTTGTGTTGGACAGTCCTTTTATCGAGGACGGCTATATGCTATATAGACTATAAAACATCACAACACAATAAATAGAAATCGAAGAGAGTGGGTGAAACTACGTAGAAATACATACCTAGCTAGTTTTCTATAAAAGTTTAGGTCTCACTAGGATAATCCCACGAGTTAAGACTGCATTGACAAGCTTGATTTTCACAACGCGCATAACTGATTAATAGGCCAGTTTTAAAACAAAGATTTATGGCGAAAGTTAATAGTTTTGTCGTGCAGGAGTCGAACCTGAGATGTTATATGCAATAGTCGATCACTCATCTACTACACGTACATCCTATGGAATCAATTTAATCAGAAGTAACTGAAATATTTTCAAATATGAGTTTAAATACAAGGGTACAAAAGAAACGATCACTATTTCAATTGTTGATTTTATTAGCATTGTTTGACATGTGAAAAAGTAAATCCTTAATATTAATTTACTATTTATTTTCAAACACATTGTCCCTTTCATTTGCGTATGGTGGTGGCCTCTGTTCTACAATATTGGTTCTATATGTTGAACTTTCTATTTGCGGTCGCAACAAAAGCATTTGACGTCGGTCACCATTCTGAAAATAAGAAGAAAAGATAAGTATCTAAAAATTGACGAGAAGGCGTTTTATATTGGTAACATTTTGTATAAATATATTATTTTTAATATGATTTTTTGTATAGAAATCAACTAAATGCAATTAATTTGTATTAATATCATAGGAGTTCGCAAGTTTGCATATTGGGTCCATTATATTTGAAAGAACTATACAATTGTTTTAAAATTATCTCATTGCTTTGACTCAATATCGTAAATTTCATGCCACTAAAGTGATTAAATACGGATATAAATAGTTGTGATACCGTTTACTCACTTTGTTTTGTCGATCAAATTGCATTTGTTGCGAACGAGTAAATTGTGGCTTACTTTCTTGGTATTTAGTTGACCTTATTTCTAAATTGTTAAGATCATTGTTATCGGATATAGGTCTTTCTTTTTCATAAATTGATATTCGAATATTTTTTCTTTCCGGTATATCTTGTCTTCTAGAGTTAATTATTTCTAATAGTTCATTCGGACTTAAATCATCTATAGTTCCATCAAACTTATCAGAGTTTTTAAATCCAATCAAATTTAATGGTAGCTTCTTTCTAACGTCAGCACTGCCGTTATTAGCCAATAGAGTTTCTTGATTTCTAATCTCATAGTTTATTGGGATTTCATTGGCCTCTTCGTATTCGCGATCTACAGAGTATTTGCCAGTTAAAATGTCTTTGTACTTAAAATCATTGCTATGATATTTGTTCAGCCATTGTTTTTGACTTATTTTATAAATATTTCTAGAATCTGAATCGACGATAGGAGTGTCTTCGTAAGCATTATCAATTTCACTTTGAATATGTTTTTGCGTTTCGATTGGAGTTTCTTCATATTTGTGTTCCACGTAATCATAGTTACGATCCGTATTGTCGACACTATCACTTTGACTGCGTGTATAACTATAGGTTTTATCTGCTTTAGTGCTTTGTTCTATATTGTTTTCGTTTTTCATAGTTTTCATCATCACTTGAACTTCATCATCATTGTTTATATTATAATTATTATCAGGATAGTATTTTATGTCCCTCATAATATTCGCTGCTTGTTGTTTAAACGGTGATTTCATAGATGTATTATCCTGATTTTTATTTACAGCGGCTTTGTAAATTTGTTTCATTTTCACATCGAAAAAATGCTTTAGATTGACGTCAAATTTGATATTTCTGACTTCATGTTCCAACATACTTAAGATATTCTTTAATCTTTTGATGCCCGTATTTTCTTTTATAATTAATAAATCGTCTTTATTAGGATAACGGGTTGGTTTTCTGTTTTGATAGTTAACAACAAAATTGTCTTCTGCTTTATTTAATGCACTTTCAGTTGGAACATCTTCAAATATATTGTACATAATTTCATCGTCTGCAATATCTGCACTATTTGATAAAGGCTTTTTCATTTCAAAGCTCTGATCCTGGGCTTCAATGAGGCTTGATACCATAGGTTCCTTTATAAATGATTTGTTTTTCTCATTATTTAGTTTTGGGAAGTATTTCTTTTTTGGTACTATTGACTTTGTTATTAGCTGTAGCTGTAAAGGTTTCATTAATTAAAAACATGACTATTCATAATGTCGAGTAATTTCAAAGACTTTAAATATTATATTTTTATAAAATGTATGATTTACCTGCTGCAATGATTCATTAGATTCATCAGTCTTCTTTCCATATATATATTTTGGTTTGATATCATCTATATTCTTATTACTGAATGCTTTTATATTACTCGGTCTAAAAATACAATACAATTTATTTAGATATATAAACAATACATAATTTTTCTAATAGTGAAATATTCATACTGAAAATATATCTGTATATCAAAGATAGCTAGCTGTATAGCAAGAACCAAAAAATCATCTAAGCTATTCTGCTGTAACTATCAAATTTCTACTTTCGAAGTGAGCTGTGTGTGTGAAGAGTGAACAACCAATTACATGAGGGACCGCAATCAAGTTCACTTCTATGTTTCGAATTGAAAGTTAAAGAATAACACAGCTGATTATGGAGATTCGTAGATAAATGTAGAAATTAGGAGAAGGCAAGAACTTCCTAATAGGATAAGCATATGAAGCTACCGAGGCATGTTTATACTCTTACCTGAAGCCACGTATTTCATTATTTCTGCCACCCATTCCATTGATCTTGCTAGCTTTGATTACAGGACTATTTTTTATTGGATACACAGCATGATCAGGCATTTTTATTTCGAAGTTGTAATCATTATCCTCGGCGGTTGGGTTTTCAATACTTTTACTTTTGCTATCCGGTTTTGTATCGTCTGCTACAAAATTCTGTTTTTTGTATTCCCAGTGAGGGAGGAATGTAATAGTTTTGTAATTATTATAATCTGAAAATTTTAACAATTGGTTTGTTTATTATAAACTGCTTTGATAGATTGCTGATAAAGAAAATAAATATTTAATGTCACTTGGCCCAAAGTTTTACCAGATACTGATTTGTATTTGCCGATATAGGTGAGTACCTAATTTATTATGATTGCGTTAGTATAATCGTCAACCAAACCACTCGGTTTGGTTGACGATTACACTAACGCATGTTAAAAAAGGCAAATACCTGAGGGTAAGTGGGTATTTTTTTAAATACATTTTTTTAAATTTGATTGATTTGTAGTTTTGAAGCAGGAAATATTCTATAGAGCTTTTATTACTATTATAATAAGATTAATATTGAAATATAATGCACCTGTTTTTTTATTTTTGATTTCCAGTGTTGGTGTGATCGGGCGTGAAGTAGTAGTGGGACGAACTGTTGTAGCTGTACGAAGAAACATCATTTGATTAGAATTAAAAACATATCATTCTGAATCATCAGATTACCAAGTGAATGCCGAACAAAAGATTTTGGATTTGTTTTTTGGGATGGGTAGTCTTTTATTAGCAGTCTTTTAGCACTCAATATTTAGTAATAGGCTTGCTGGTGCACCCATAGACGTATTTTAAAAGGGTGGAAAATCATTGGGTGATTTTTTGCCTTAGGTGAGGCGAGAGGGAGTGTCAGACCCTTACTGACTAAAAGCAACTCATGCTTTAAACTGGAGCTATTATCCGCTGCTCCGGATCAGATATCAGCCCTGCTGGGCCCCATCTGAGGTGGGCTGATGGCTCATTGACGCGCGGAACGTGACAGTGAAAGATTTGATAATTGTTCCGAAAACAATTGCTAAAGCCTGGATTAAGAAATCACATGATATATCTCTGGTGGTGTCCATGGTGGTCACTCTTTGTTGTTGTTCTCTTTGACTTAGTTGAAGAAAAGTGGCTGTACTCAGACGTAGTCTTGTATCTTAATTTGGAAATACATCTTTAACTACAACTCAAATGAAACATACTTGTCCATTCATCTGATACTCTTTCACAGAGACAGTTCCTGGTTTCCTTGGATCCTTGTGGACAGCCACAGCGCTTAGTGAACCCCAGACCAGGCATTGGAGGGTCAGTATTGTACAGAGGTTCTCCCGGTTGGGGACCCTCTGAGATATTGCATACTACTTGTACACTCTGAAATAAGTGAGATTATTACGTCTTCATCAGCTAGAACATCTTTGTTGAATAAAAAGGCGTTTATTTTAAACTGATGTTTTCTATAATACCCATGCTTAGTACACCTGCTTTGAGGATTTCTGCTAGAAAAAGCTTGCCCATCTGTTGCTAACTGATCACTCTATTAATCTGTTACACTTATGGCTGTCTCAATCACGTATATAGGGGCACCCGATAAACTTAACTGTGGTAGATAGTTTATACAAATTACGTTTTATATTCCATATTCTATAGCTGTCTAGGCATGTTTTATAAAGCAGGCCCTTAATATGTGCACGTCTCCCGTTAGTTCAGGGAATTAAAACCAATGTGGTGTAACAATGTATGTAATACTTACGTTCTGAATAGACTCAGTTTGACCATCAATTTTGTATTTGGAGTAAGCAGAGAGACCACATCCAATGTGCGTAGCTCCACCTCGTATTAAATTGAGATAATATTTCAAGTTCAAATCTGGAAGTCTACAAATGTAACAAAACATTAGGCGAAAAAGTTATTATAACAACAATAGAAGTACATCTATACAATATTATACATCTTAAAATGGCTATCAATTTTACTCATTAAGGTATGAATAACCAGTATAAACTGATCGTCGAATGTACGGAAAGATCATACAAAGGGAGGCCATGATAGAGTGGATTTTTTAGATCGATGTGTAGTCGTGTGTATACCTACAGTTATTGAGATGCAGCCCAACAGGTACCATTTATCATTTGATTTGGTCGAAGGATACTCCCTTTTCCAATCTTACATGACACCGTGTTCCTTAAGAAGAAAATTGTACTCTTTCAAACATCCTACCGCTAAAGACTGGAATTCCTTGCCAGACTATTTCAAGAGGGGTGCTGGGTGTCTTCAAATCCCATGTTCTATCGTCGGCTATATCATTGCTTACCACCAGGTGAGTTAGTAGCCTAACTAATCATCATCATCATCATTAACAGCCGAAAGACGTCCACTGCTGGACAAACGCCTCCCCCTTAGTCCTCCACATTGAACGACAACTCGCCACCTGCATCAACTGGCTTCCCGAAACTCCCGCGATGTCGTCAGTCAACCTAGCGGAAGGCGTTTTTTTTTCGGACAATCAACGAATGACTTCTCCTGCCTGGGTGAGGCGGAAGGGAGTGTCAGAATTTTACTGACTAAAAACCACCCCGTTCCTTCTCCTGCACTTCGAGCCGGAGCCCCAATTAATAAATATAAAAAGAATCCCTTGTCTATGTGTGAAATAAAAAAAGCGTTTATGGTAACAAACATAGTTTAGAAAAATTATGACTTCTGCCAAACAGTAGAACTTACTCGTGTAACGCAGGACACTCCATAATGATGTCTTTAGTCACAGTCCTCTTTAAAACATGAGCAGATTTCAAAAATCTGTCCATAGAGAATGTTAGTTTCTCTTCGTTTAAACCCTTTTCAGTGTTGTTGTGTCTTATGTACTCCCAGTTTGGGTACTTGAAATGAATTATGGCGATACTCTGACTTGGATACGGGAATTTATCTGGAATTTTAAAGATGATAAGTGGATTTTATAGAATTTTATTACAATTTTCGTGAGACAGGCAATTTTTTATTTTTTAGGACATTCAAAACACCAAGGCGTTACAAGTGCGTTACCAGCCTTTTGGGAATTGGGAATTTGAGGATTGTGGAGAATTCGGGGATTTGGGAGACGGGGATTAGAGAGGGGGCTGATTGGGCCTCCGGTAACCTCACTCACACGACGTGAAACAACGCAAGCGTTGTTTCACGTTGGTTTTCTGTGGGGCCGTGGTATCACTCCGGCCAAGCCGGCCCATTCGTGCCAAAGCATGGCTCTCCTACACTTATATATTTGATGGGCCAACGTTTGACCACTATTTCGCCTGGTATTTACAGTATATGTACGGTACCGTCTCATTGGAAAATTATTGGTATCGTAACTCACCAGTAGATCTGCAGAGATCCTCCCTTCCTCCCAGACATTGGTTAGCCAGAACTTGCGCTAAGGTTGCTAATTCCCTGTCCCATTCCTAAAAAAACAACATTGGATATCATTTATGTCATTCACTAGCTAAAAATTGCAGGTTACTCACGTGAATATACTGAGAAAAGCTCTACTAGTTTCGAACCGAATAATCAGTAATTAGTAGGCTGCGCGACGTCGCCGCGACCGCGCACGCTGCTCATGTGGAAGAACCCCTCTGTGGTTCGAAAATAGTAGAGCTTTTCTCAGTAACCCGCGATTTTTAGTTAATTTAGTATGTCTCACGATAGTTATTATAAAAACATGTCATTCATATTGTAGGCTCGAATTTAGACTTTCATATAGTTATGGTCGTTTTCATTAATCACTCCTAATCTGTCACTAGACTTAAAGACACTTGGCGTAAGGTAGTACCTGAACGTTTTTTTTAATGGGACCGCCCATGGATACCCGAAAAACCAGAGGCGTTACAAATGCATTACCAGCCTTTTCGGGATTATGAATTTGAGTGTTGTTGGGGATTCGGGGATTGGGGAGATTGGGGAGGAATTAATTGGGGCCTCCGGTGACTTCACTCACACGACACATGCGTTGTTTCACGGCGGTTTTCTGGTCGGCCGTGGTATTGAGCCGGTGCATTAAGTCAGCGCATGAACCGATCGTATTGACTGCCTCGTTGGCCGAGAGGTCGCAAGTGCGACTGCCCGGCAAGGGGTCTCGGGTTCGATTCCCGAGTCGGGCAAAGTCTTACTGGGTTTTTTATAAGCAAAATTCTCAGTATTAGCACGGGGAGTCCAGAATTGTGCCCGGTATATGTCATTAGGCTCACTCCCTGTTACATGGGACTCATAACATAAATAGTGAAAAGTGGATGTCATATTGTACAGTGGCATTAAGTGCCGTACCCCTTCGGGGATAAACAGGCGTGTTGTTATGTTATTATTATGTGTCAAGCCGACGGATTACTTTAACAAAATCCAACATCTTACCATTTTCATCATTCCATAAGCTCTCGGGAGAACTTCATCGTCCTTCCCTCTTTCAACGCCACTGGCTACTTTCCCTCTTATACTAAAACAAGTAAGTTAAACAAAAAGTTATTTAATCATTATCGGAATTAAGTCTCTTATCATTTAGATTTTCAAAATCTTACTTGTTCACATTCTGTAGTATGGTTTGTACCATTTTAGGCGTAACTTCTGTTCTAACTGGGTTCCCACAACGAGGTCCGAATTCGTGGTCCTGCGAGAAATCAACAAACTCAATAAAACCTGCTTCTTTATTTACACCTAATTATACAAATTACCAAACAAATAAAAAATATACAAGATTTTCTAAAAAAACGCAGTTAATAATTTTGCTACAGAATTCTAGACCTTACTTTTCATACCACCAGCATCGCGAGACGATCTCCAGCCACCGTAAGCACGGGCCTGCGGACGGCGAGCTTGGGTGGCTCGCCGCCCGACCAGAACTAGACCCGAGCGTAAGGTGTGTCGCGTTCCGCGCGCGCCTCAAAGAGCCATCAGACTACCACGGATGGGGCCCAATAGGGCTGATGCCGATACGGAGTCGCGGAGAACCTAACGGGTAACCGGGGCTCCGGCTCGAAGTGCAGAAGAAGGAACAGGGTGGTGGTTTTTAGTCAGTAAAAGTCTGACACTCCCTTACACCTCAACTAGGCGGGAGAAGGCATTCAATGAATTTCCCCCCTTAAAAAAAATACTACCAGCATAATTGCAAAAAATTTCAAGTAATACTTACATGATCATAATACATGCACATGACGTGGGTACCATCTCTGCAATATTTCTGCCTAGGACAGTACTCAGACACATAAATTGTGTCCTGAGACTGGGCATCTATGATCTCTGAACATTTTGATGACTTTATTAATAAAAAAGTCAGCGTTACAATCTGGAATAGTTTATGAAATGTTATCGAATTTATTGTAACAGTGGAAAAAGGGAATTAGCACGGGAATCAACTGTACTGTTATAACCCTTATAATTAGGCAGTAGAGCCTACATCAGCAATAAGCACTGGTCAACGTAATTTTCCATAATAAATGCGTTTTTCATGAATTTTAACACAGCACAAAAATTATTATATCAACTAACTGTGCCCGCGACTATGTTCTCTTGAATAGTTTAGTCAATAACAATGCCAATTAATGACAATGGACATACATACAGACAAACAGAAAAAAAATTCTAACTTATATAAATATGTGAAACTTAAAAAAGATATCGAAAATAAGACAAGAAAGAGCAAATAGCTTCACTAGATAACTGACCGACACACAGAAATTTTTAATATTTTGTTTGACGTTCAAACATGTCTTCCTAGTCTAATTGAAATAATGATTCGACTTTGAAATATATATTAAATGAAATAAAGCTAAAATCGAAACAAAAAAAGTTATTTTGTCTGTCTATGGTCATGTGGTGCATGCGTTTATAGTGGTTTTTGATCCTAACAAAGAAGTTAATACGATGGAACGTAAGTAAGTTAATAAAGTGTATAATAGATAATGTGTTGGCAAATAAAAAAATAAGAACTCACATTGATAATCATATTTGTATCACTAAATTTAAAGATAATAAAATACGTATAATTTGTTTACGATTGCTCCATTGCACGCTACTCATGACAGTTCAGGAAATTTAACATCAGCTTCCAGTTTGTCATTTATTTACTTATAATTATAATCCTTATTTAAATTGTTTATTATTACAAAATAACTAAGATTGTTTATTTTATTATGACCAGTAATATTTTATTTTAAACTTTTATCTCTCAAAATATTATTCACTTGAACACTTGCAACTGGCGTGCGTATCGACTTCTTTGTGTTTTCTTGTTTTATTTAGTTTTCTTTTGTTAATTTCCTTATTCTTTCGTTTATTATCTTGATTTCTGTTCCAAACACACTATTCATTGCTTATTTTAACAATGGATTCAGTTTCATTCTTTGTTTTAGTATGTAGCCTTGTATTAATTTGTCTGTTAACCTAATATAGCTTGATGATAGCCTTTTTAATTAGACTTAATGTCTTGGTCACACGCTCCGAAGGGGTCCCCGTCATATACCTAAGTAAGTTTTGGACTGGAACCCCCAAGTAGATGGAAAGTGTGGTCGTCCTGGGCAAGCCTGGCGTCGCGCCACGCTGGCAGCAGCGAAGAGCATCGGTATGCCGCTCCACGTCACAAAGTTCAAGTCATTTCGGTTCAATTTTAAAAAGTCGGACCTTACCAACTATGTGGTATTACGTTACCCTTACTGTAATGTCGGAGACAGATGACAGTCATTTCATATAAAAGTATTGTATACATTCAGCCGAATTTGGGATTTACTCCAAAATTAATTGGAAAAAGATAAAGAGAAAGATGCAGAAGAAATAACATGGCTAATATATGAACTGTCATGTCGGTACTAACGTAAGTATCAGTTTTCCAGAATCTGGCTTAAGCAACCATTTTTTATTCATGTATCTATATAATTATGTTTCATCATCATACTAGCTTCTGCCACCGGTTTCGCTCGCGTTCCCGTAGGATCAAAAGTAGCTTGTGTTATTCTTGATCATGATCTACCTCTGTTTTGTTCATCCTGATCCCTTCAGCCGGTTTGACGTCGTTGAGTAACGAAATAACATACATACAATTTCGCATTTATAATATTAGTTGTATTTTGAGAATTATAATTATGATTTTGAATTATATCAAATCAAAAAATCATTTATAGTTTTCTTTTATTTACAGAAAAAAGGAACCTTCATATTATCTTTATGTATATAATTCTGTTGTACGTGTGTATGTCATTGAACTCCTCCTAAACGGCTTGACTGATTGAAATATTTTTTTCTGTACGCGTTTGAGTGGCGCCCTGGATGGTTTAGATTCACAAATCAGCCCGGCAGACGGCGCTGCAGTCGGTGTCTTTTTTTTTAAGGAGGAAAATCATCGACTGACTGCTCCCGCCTGGGTGAGGCAGGAGGGAGTGTCAAACTCTTACTGACTAAAAACCACCCCGTTCCTTCTCCTGCACGTAAATAAAAATCGCCATACATTTTAATCGTTTATATAAACAGCTCAATATAGTTAGCTAAAAATATATTTTACATTGATTTTTTTACATCATTCTTTGCGTATGGTAAAAAAATCCTGGATTTTTGAAGATAATAAAGTTGAAGATGCAATAAAGAAATTTGACAAGAAAGGATCGTCCACCGTACATTAGTAAATTTCTTAATTTTAAGTTTTATTTTTCAGTTGACTGCCTCGTTAACCGTTTCTCGGGTTCGATGCCCGTGACGGGCAAAGTATTACTGGGTTTTTTATAAACAAAATTCTCAGTAGTAGCATGGAGTCCGGAATTGTGTCCGGTATATGACAATAGGCTCACCCCCCATTACAATGGACTCAAACATAAAAAATGAAAAGTGGGCGTTACATTGTACACTGGCATTAAGTGAGGTAATGTGCATCTCTGCCTACCCTTTAGGATAAAAGGTGGGATGTTATGTTATGTTAAGGTTTTCACTGATTGTAATCAGCAAAATTATTTGGTACGCAGGTAAGACAAAATAGATAGATTTTGTTCTATTGGCCGACTACTGAACTTATTTTTATTGCCTGCATACTAAATACTGAGGTTTGTAGACTACGTGCACTGTAGCATCTACCATTATTTTTTTTATTTTTTTTATGGCATAAACCGGTAACCGAGCAGACGGATCACCTGATGGTAAGCAATTGGCGTCGCCCATGGACGCCTGGAACCCCAGAGGCGTTACAAGTCCGTAACCGGCCTTTTGGGCATTAAGAGTT